TATTGGCATTGCTATTACTGTTGTTACTGTAATCAGGACTTAAACATGACAGAAGACAAAAGAAATCCTGTGATCCTAATAAGACCCTGCACCATTGTACCTCATTCTGAAATCTTTAAATTTATACTACTGGGCACATTTATTAAAGGAACAATTATTTTAGAAATTTTACTCCACTCCTATCCTAACTTCACAACGTTTTCCGGGTGTTTATTTTTAAAACAGTATCAAATTACCAGAAACTTAAAGCCTACATCCCTAATGTTTATGCGAAACCAAACCACATTTGATTGTAGTTGAAGAAAATTAACCGAGCAGATAGCTTGGATTCCAGTTTAGAGTCTACAATATTTATGTTTCTGCATCTTTAATTCTTTCAATATGCTATATAGCACCCCACCCATGCTTTACTTCTCTTGTGTCATAAAATAAGAAATAAATAAAATAAGAAGTAAAATAAAAAAGAAACTTGGTTTTTAAATTTCCTGGTGGTAGCTAGAGCTTAATGTCTTTGTAAATTTGAGTTGAAAGAAGAAGAAAAATTATCGGCAAGGACTAAGTGGCAATACAGACATAGCAATCAATGGATTCCTGTAACTATCACCTTCTTATCAGCTTCACAGTCTTTGGGTATGTTGGATCTGATGCACAATCTAGTGTATTCTCTAGTCCTCACTTTTCTGATTTTGTTGTGATTTTGAACATGGAAAGGGGCCTAGTATGTGATATTTGTCTTTTGTCTTATGTTTCCCGCAGCTCAGGATGCCAACTATCCCATTTCTCACTTCTGTACCATGTAGGGCTGAGCCAAGACCCACACAGCACAGTGACACAGAGAAGCAGAGGGCAGTCTGCTCACCTCTGCAGACCCAGAAAGGCTAATGCAGTACACTGGAGGGAGTAGACCTTTATTTCATGTGGCCCTTATGCCTTGTAGAAGTAAATGGCAAATCCTGATATTTCACTACCAGGAACTAAGGGGGATGATGTACAAATGGGCAACATAACTCATTTATTCATTCGTTGACTCACAGCTAGTATTTACCGAGTGCTTATTGTGTGACAAGCACCAACGCTGGTTCTGGGAATTCGAAGATGAATGAGTTACCACCCCTACCTTCAAGATGTTTCTGTTTAGCAGAGAACAAGAGGTTTAAACCAGAAATTCAATTCGCTTAGGTAATTATTATCATGATGAGCTGCGGCTCTGAAGTGAAAGAGCACAGATGTGGAGACATGAGTTCGACATCAGGAGGGTAAAGGGAACATCTTCTAGCTTGCACATAATGTGTGTTGAATGGCCAGTGCTTGACGGAGCAGGCTGTCAGTGACTAGTAGAGTGTGGATGTGCCTCAGGTGCTGGCATGGGCCTCCCTTCAGGTGGGGTCCTGAAGTCCCAAGGCAGATATGCAAGAGGGTCTTCAGCACACTGCAAGAACACCAGGGAGCAGGGCCAGCAAGCTGTTGCCATTGACAGAGCTTAGTTCCTGGCTCCCAAATCTGTGTCTTCACTGGGTAGTAAGATTTAAAGGAAAAAGAATACAGTTGACAATGCAGGTGAGAAGCCATTGTCATTTTTTGCCACCCTAATTTCTGACACTTTAATGTATTTCACATGACTCACCTGTGGACACTGACCTTCTTGTTTTCTTAAAGAACCCTGTACCTCCAATAGCCTTCCTCCTCCTCTTCTAGATCTCCTGTGTGTTTCCTGCTTGCTCTGGTTTATTGTATTAGAGAAGTATTATAATTTGCAGTCATAGTTAACACATATATAATATGTATATTACATACACGATTTTTAAAAGTTAAAAGGAATTTATTTGGTCAATACTGCCTTTTTGTGAATGAAAAGTAGCTATTATTAGGTAATGTTTATTGAATTATTTCTTTTTAATGGCAAAGGACACACGTATGTACACATGTGACAGTGCAAGAGAAAGGAGAGAGATAACCCCTACTACGGTACTACGGGGCCTGGTCACACCAGTCCTTTCTCCTCAAATTCTTCATCCCATCATGATCCTAGGCATGTATAATCCACTGAGGCCAGGACCTCAAAATTGGTCAGCCATGTGGGTTCTGGCTTTCTCTGAATAGCACTTAACTGCTCTGCTAAGGTGGGCCTAATTTGGGTTCTTGTTCATTCAGCCTCTGGCAGGACAAAGAGTCCACATTTGTAATAAGCTCCAGGGTAATGCTACTGTCTGCAGACTGCATTTTGAACAACAAGGCCTTGTATCATTTGATTTTTTTTTTTTGAGAGGTTTTTGCTATAGGGTACGTGCACTTGCTAGAAAGAAAGAGAGAGAGAGATAGACAGTGAGAAATCACCCCCCTCCCCCCCCGCCGGGAGGGATGGCCATGCCGCAATTCCTTCTCCTCCATTCTCCTCTTAGGATCTTGGGCACGCACACACACGCGCCCAGTGTGAGTTTAAGCCACCGGGTCCAGGACTCGAACCACTGTCAACTACATGGAAGTTCAGTGACATAGCTATCATGCTAACTGCTGGTCCGTATCATTTGATCTTGACAACAGCTCTATGAGGCAAATATTATTTTTCCCATTTTATAGATATGGAAACTAAAGGTTAGGGGAATTGGGTAATTTGCCTGAGGTCATGTTGCTAGAAGCAGCAGAGCTTGGTCTTCAAGTCCAGGTCTGCCTCTAGTACAGTGTGAATAATTTGGCCTTTGGAAATATTCTGCAACACCCAACAGTGATCTGAGCTACCTGAAATAGAACTCAAAATTTCAGTTTATTATTTCTTCCTTTGCATTGAAATGCCTTTTCCAATTTAATTTCTCTTTGTGAAGACTTTCTCTTTATGATCTGGTATGAAGGGATGATTCAGATGTGTCGGATTTTGTTTCTAAAGACACGGAAAGTTTAGTATGATTTATTTACTCAATTATACCTAGTAAACATTGTGCTATTGATGGAATCTGCACAGAGCACAAAGGAAATTGCTGGGGAAGGATGCACGCGAGGAAAGGAAATCCTCAGGCTGATTTATTGTTTAATGCTGAGTGCACGCAGCTTGCTACGTTGGTCACAGCCCGGTGAAAAAGGACACAGTCTCTGTCCTTACAGGTCACATATTGCTTTAAAAATAATATTTTGACCTGCTTATAAAATACAGTTCAAAACAGAAAATCTGAGCTACAGAAATCTGATAGTGAAATTTGAGAATGATCTAAAATACGAACATGAAACTGGATTTGTTTTATTTTCAAAGAATACATCTCAAAAGGGTAACTAAGGACCACATTTTCACAGAACAGCAAGAGTTCACAGTAGCAATATGCTGCCACAATAATTTAAACGCTGCTTTTGGCTTTAAAGGGCAGTGAGCAGTGGGAGTACAAGGGACAGGGTTGGGAACCACTCTCACCCCCCAAAAAAAGATTTATTTAAGAAACGCGAATGTGCTCCTTCCTCCAGCGCCGGAGTTGTGGGGCACAAGTCAGCTTCACTGAAAGTCCCCAAACTTAGCCCGACCGACCCGAGCGGCCAGACTGATGTTCTTGGCTATTAAACCTGGGCGCAAGTCTCCGACGCATGCGCAGTGTGGCTGCCTTATCACAGGCCTATTTTTCTCAGGCAGGTTTTTTGTGGGGTCAGCAAAAGGGCCAGAACCCCAACCGTGAACAATTCTGAGTCTGATAGGGGAGAGGAAAACCATCTCTAAGCGCAGATCATCCCGCACCGAAACAGGCTGGGGGTCGTACCTGCAGGCATTTACACACCCACACTCGCCCACCCGCTTCTAAGGTGCCAAAACATCCTCAGAAGCAACTAACTTGGCGGAGCCGGCGGAAGAATTCTCTGTAGGAGAGAATTTCGGGGACAGAACGAGGAAGGGCGAGGGGGCGACGATCTCGGAAACTTTCCGCGTGGTGTTCTCCAGATGCTGTGTACCTTTTCTTCCTTCCCCTGGGGAGTCCGGGTGCCCCAATTAATCCGTCGCTCCTCTGAGACTGCCTTTTAAAATTGCATTTGTTGTGTAGGGGACCCAGGGGAACCTCTCCGTATTACAGCGTTCAGGCACACGCTCCCCCAACCCGGGAAGCTGCCCCGAGAGAAAGCCTCTGGGCGCCTGGGCTGTGTGGACTTCGCGGACCCGAGGGCTCGCGGGTGGGATCCCCGTCGCCGCC